ACCTCGATGCGATGTATCTTTTTGTTTTCTTACAAAATGCTTGGCCGTCAAAAAGCAATCGAACGAAATGGATATTTACCAACCAAATCGACACAGACCAACCCACGGGTCAAAAAATCCCCCCTTAGCGTTGCGGAGCACGCGGGTAACCCTAGTTTTCTACTATTTAGGTATAAACATGTTCCTCGTACAAGCACTAACCTCAGTAAATAGTTTGACACGTTTAATCAATTAGACATGCTCTTTAATCGACATATTATCATTATATGCTGTCCCGATTAGTCATTATGGCCCGATATTATCATTATGCTGGCCCGATTAATCATCTGATACTACACTCTCGTCTTGACCTAGAAATGCAGAGACAACAGCAACAAATACCTAATAAAAGAAAAGTACGAACCTCCACCATGTGCCTGTCTTCCTCCTCCGTCGTCTTCCGTTTTCTTCCACACTTATCATAGCGCGCTTTCAAACCCCTTTCCCCTTCCTGCTCATAACGGTGTTTCCACCGTCTGGCAGTAGTTAGAGCTACACCGAGAATCTCTGCCGCCTGCTTGACAGAGTGACCTTGATCGAAAAGCAAGATGAGCCTGCCCTTGTCAAGATCACTGAGGTGTGCCATCACGCTCACGTTGACGTCTAGCCGCACACACTCCACGCGGGCTGCGGCCGCCTACTGCGGCTCTCCTTCCCCGGCTTTCCGCCCCACTCGGAACAGAAACAGCCAGGTCATGTCATTCCGTGACCCTCAAAGGATACTGTGTCGCATCACACTAATCGGTACACTCTCTGACACACCAGGCCTGCCCCGCCGTGGCCCAGCCTCGGTCCCGGTATGAGCGCGGATTCTGCGCTCAATAGTACATATATTAAGGGGTCATCCTGCTGTGTTGGCTCCTCGGATTATTTGTAGATGAAGATTTACGACCAGTGGCGTAGCCAGAGATCAGCGAAAGGGGGGGCCATGGTGCTCGAGGGGGCGACTTTTTCCCTTGAGAGGGGCGCCATTGTCAGCTAGTGACAGGGGTGTCAGGCTAAAATGTAACGTCATGTTCATGCATGATTTACTATAGGTGTTGCAAAATACATAAGAACCAGCTTTCGCTGATTTTCATAAAGTCCAATTAATGCAATTTGCAGCCTGGTGTTTTTTTTTATCAAAAAACCTTGATCTAGATGAATTTTTAGCATGATATAGGAAACGAGCTCAGGCTACGGACATTTTATTCTCAAAATACGCATCCATGCGAATTCGAAACGGTAAAATAACTATACGTTGATCGATAGGCAGAATCTTTATTCTTTGCAAAAAAAAAGAAAAGAAAAATATACGGGCTCACTCACTGATCCGAAGTGACCTGTGGGCTGCAGCCTGTGGTCGACCGGGGTTGCCGTGTTTAGAATATCAGAGCGCACGTATGTAGGATACACGCTGCGACTTATTGCCTAAATTGGAATCAAGGAAAGATTTGAACAATTAAGACCATGAGATCCACCATGAGATCCCAACTCATTGTCATACCAGCAGCGACTGCAGTCAGAGGCGACCGAACGCTGACATACGTTCTTGATTTTTTCTCCACACATCCCCTTTACAATTCGATGTCTAGTGCGTGCAGCCCCTACTTCTGGACATGCATGACTGCCTCCAGTAACTGACTGCCACGCCTCCAGAGGGAAACAACTCCAAAAATAACAGTTTTTATTAAAATCGTTTTCTGCAATAGCTTTTGACTCAAGACAGTGACGACATTATTTTGCCAGCATCGTATTCCTCTCGTCGAAACGCGTCGAATGAACTATACGTTGACCTTGAAACGTCATTTTGAAAATTTGACCTCAGGTCAAGATCATGACCTTGATGGACAGGGTCATGCTGCATATCACTCGATCCGTATCGTCGAGCTGAACACATCTGACGTGTTTTCACCGCTTTAGCAAGTCTCTATCAAAAGGTATAGCCAAAGAAATGCTGGTGACCGTTCATGACCTGAGATGACCTCAGGGGCACACAGAAGGGTCACAGGTGCATTTTATCGATTCAGTGTGTTATGTTTACCTATGTACCGATGTTTGAGAGGGTTTTGAACCACATTCGTCCAAAAGAGGCGCATTTCAATTTTCTCCAATTGACTTATACCTAATGGAGAAGTCGCAAAATTGACCTGACCTTAGGTCATGGATATCAAAAGTCCGAGATAAACATTTTATACATATTCTTAGTCTTATCAATCTCTGATAGTTTTAAAAGTGATCGTTCCGTCGGTGTGGCGTACGCTGGGGCGGCACCGCCCTGCTAGGCGGGGGCGGCATCACAATAATGGGGGGCAATGCGCTGGGGGCAGCACTTGCATTGAGGGGTGGCATTGTACGGTGAATGGGCGGCGTCGCATTGAGGGGCGGTATCGCAACGAGGGGTGGCACTATCGAGGCTGCCTTATAAGAAACGCTTGGCACATCCTAGCCCAGCTCGGCGCCGCCTGGCTGCTGCATCTTGAAAAGGGTCCTTGGTGTCGATGAGACAGCCCCATTGTAAAATAATTACCTACCTAGCGTCAGTGGTTTCGGCGGGGGGGGGGGGGGCGCTATCGATCTTGAATGGGGCGGGGCGACTCTGAAGTCTCCATTCAGATGGGCGTCAGTGACTACTGGAGGGCGCCAACGAACTCGGATAGGGCGAATGTGATCTTCAGAAGGGCACCGGGTGATCTAGAGGGGTGTAATGCTTAGATGGGGTCACTGCTGCCTTCAGTAGGGCGTCGGACGCTCTGAAGGGGCGCCATTGATCTCGGATGATTCGACTGTTATTTTCAGAGGGGCACCAGTGATTTCAGAGGGGCGCCATTGATTTAGGATGGGGCGACTGAAGTCCCGGTTCAGGTGGGCGCCAGTGGCTGTTGAGGGGCGCCAGCGACCTTGGATTGATGGGGCGACTGTGATCTTTAGAGGGGCGTTGAGGGGCGCCATTGGGCATGGATGGGGCCGCTGTTGCCTTCAGCAGGACGCCGGACAGTCTAGAGGGGCGCCTTGAAATTGGGTGGGGGGACTGTAGTCTCAAGGGGCGTTGTCTCAGATGGGGCGAATAAACTCTAGAAGGGCGCCATTGGTTTCAAAGGGTTGCCATCGATCTTAACCCTCGCACGACCAGGCCATTTCTCATAACACGAACGACCAGGGGGGGGGGTTGTTACGACCCCCCCCCCCTGGCGTTTCGAAACGGAAGGTCGTAGAGCTTAGCGGAAAAAACTAACGGATTGCTCTCAACGAGATCTCGCGATTGGTGGTATATTTTTTGGTCCTAGGTCAACATTTGACCTACTTTTGACCGGTCAAAGGTCAAATTTTCGGAAAAATAGACTTTTTTCAACTTTCGGCGGCGATTGCGGCAAAACGGTGGGAGATATCGACTTGAAACCTTCACTTTCGTGTTCCTTGATCAATTCTCTATCGTTTGGTATGTATTTCGTTTCCCTAGCTCTAAAAATGGCGCGTTGGGAGCGCTGGAAGTCGGCAAGGTCACAGTCGGCGGCAGAAATTCGAAAAATCAAAATTTAAATTTTTGAAATCTGATTGTATTTTTGGATTTGGGAGGTCCATTTGCTCCCTATAGAAGCTAATATTGCTGCATATTCCCATTGAGGTGACAAGAATTAGCAAAATAGTGGTTCGGGCGCTTTTCAAAAATAGTACCGGACGCTGTTCCTCTTGTGACGTCATAGCTCCGTGACCTGACCTGACCCGGTCAAATTTCTTATACCATATGATAGCCAATACTTGCCCCAACATGCATGGGAAGTTTCATCACGATCCATCAACCGATGTCCGTACCACCGGCAGGAAACCTAGGGCGTTGGCACTCAGTTTGTGAAAATCCGGCCGGAGGCTGTACCTCTTATGACGTCATAACTCCGTGACCTGACATGACCCGATCAATTTTTTTTCGGCAAAAGATGCGCAAAGGCTGCCCCAGAGGGTATTGAAAATTTCAGCCCGCTACGACAAGCCGTTTAGCGTGCACTTCGAAAAAACCTCAGGGGGGTTGATACAACCCCCCCTAGGCGTTCTAGGGTTAAGATGGGGCAGCTGTGATCTCCGTTTAGATGGGCGCCGGTGACTTTTGAGGGGCGCCAGCGACCTCGGATGAGGACGACTGTGATCTTCAGAAGCGCACCGGGCGCTCTGGAGGGGCGTCATTGGGCTTGAATGGGGCGACTTTAGTCTCAAGCGGGACGACTTCAGTCTCAAGGGGGGGGGGGGGCGCTAGTGACTCTCTTGAGGGCGCTATTGATCTCGGATAGAGCGACTGTGATCTTGAGAAGAATGCGGGTGCTTTAGAGGGGCGCCAGTGGTTTCAGGGGGCGCCATCGACCTTGGATGGGGCCGAATGGGGCAGCTATGAACTTCAGAGGGGTGCAATTAACCTTAAATGGGGCGACTGTTCCGTTCTGGTGGGTGCCAGCGGCTTTCAGGGGCGCCATCGACCCTGGGGGTTCGGAATACCTATTCTGGTTTCCGGAGGTGCGCCCTTAAACATTGGGGGGCTCAGGTCCTATTTGGGGGTGCCCTGGAGAGCATTGGGGTGTCCAGGCACCCCTAAAGAGATATTGAGTTCGATCCCTGCCTGCACATCGCTTTTTAATTCATGCTCCCTCTGTAAAACGGCATCAGCCTAGTCGGCGCTAAGTGGGGCGCCATCTGGGCGGCTGGGCGGAAAGGGGGGGGCCATGGCCCCCATGGCCCCCCCTGTCTACGCCACTGTTTACGACTCTTTATGCTTTAAGGAGAGTAATTGCGCGATGCGGATGAAACTGAGCTCGATGCTCTTAAGCCTTGTTCTCTGGGTGAAATGTTGTTTGTTCTTTGACTCTTATGAAGTGAAATCGCACAGTAAATGATACGAACTTTGGTGCACAATTTTCTACCATTTCGTCACTGTTATTCTATTTTCACGCTAGGTGCCTATATCAGATGTATGCATAATTGTATACTAAGCTCACCTGGTTAGGTCCACCACCACCACGGTCGTCATCTGCTTGTTCAGAGGTCTGCCCGGCGTCACCCGAGTACAGAGCGTCGACAACGGCGAGGTGAACACCGTGTGCGAAGCAGAGTTGGTGCTCACATGGCAGTGACTTCCCGAATTTCACCATCACCGAAGCTCCGTCGGTTGTGACGCAGGTGACGTGCTTACTGAGTTCAAGGCCAAATTCTGCCAGCTTGCCCTGCAGAAGATCCAGACATTTCTCTGCTGGCATCGATCCGTGACAACGCGCGACACCGAGACCCCACATGTTACCTTCGCAGTGGACAGTCACGCTCATATAGCGACGGTTTTTCAGGGACGTATACTCGTCGATCGTAAGTGAGAACCGTTTGCCATTTGACAATTCTTCGGCCAGCTTCGCCTTCACGTCACACTTCAGGCGAGCACAGTGTTTGAGGACACGCCGGCGGATCGTGTTGTGATGGGTTGGAAGGTTTTTATATCCTTTAGCAGCCAAAAGTCCGCGTAGGTCCGGTGAGGTACAGAAAACTGTAAAAGGTATCCCATCTCTCGCGCACATTCTAGCTAGGATAGCATCCAGGTCGTCGTCCGTTTTGGAAACATAGTAGCAATCTAAGGTCTTCATTCCTTTTAGATGCGGTGCCGTGGTTTTAGCGCTCTCACCTTGACCTTCGCCGGACACGTTTTGCGGCGTCTCTCCGGATCGGGATGGTCCAGCAACACTCATACCACCATGCTTGCTCCTGAGGTGGACGTGAAGTCCTTTGGTGGAACCTCCAGATATTTTCAGTACCTTTTTACAAAGACGACACTTTGCTGTGTGGCCATCTTGACTTCTTAGATAATGTTCCCACACCGCACTGCCTTTAAATTCAGCAAAATCCGACATTTTGGCAAAGTTAGCTATAGCTTATCACAAAGGCACGTAATTAATAATTATTCACTAACGGTAACCATGCCCAGGGCGCCCGGCCAGCCTCATGGATCGTCCAGCCACGGGGCACTGACAGTAACTGAGCCACCAGACGTGCTCCCACAGTCACACAGAGAAGACGGCCGACCTCTTCCCACTCGATGGACTCGAATTCGATAGTCGGCATAGTATGTCATCGTGCAAAATGATCTGTTAAACCGAGTACGCGAGGGACGTCGCGGGGAGCGAGAGATGAGCCGAGAGAGAGCTCGTCTCTCGCCACATTGTGAAGGCTGAGACGGTGTGAAACAATGTCAATTAGGTATATATGTAACCAATACTTGTGCATAACGACTTTGCGCGGCGTAAGTAAGATCTTTGGACATAAAACTGCACTGTAATGCGTTGTTACTCACTTACCTTTTTTTACATACCTACTATCAGCTACACTTTATGAACGATGTTTCTGTACGGATCATATCGGGATCCCGAAATCCCGATGCTTCTAATCCCGAGATTCGGGATTAATACAATCCCGGGATCCCGGGATCCCGATCCCGGGATTATCAGCCCTAGGCGCCACCCTGTCCAACGAGAGGCGACGTCGTAGGGGAGAGTGGGGTAATTTGGCCGCTTTTTTTAGAAAACGATGTAACTAAAAATCGACAACACATTTCTGCATTTTCTCAACGCGGACAGGTGTGGCATACATTTTACTTTCTTGGACAGTAAACTTGAAATGATTAAGTAACTACTGATATTGAAATTGTGGCGGATTACAAAGGTCTGCAAAGCGGCCAAATTGCCCCACTAGCAGGGTTATTTGGCCGGGGGTGTGGGGCAATTTGGCCGGTGTTAGTTTGAGGCCATGATTTTTGTTATAGGCGAGTCAGCTTCACATTCAGCAATGACGCGTGTCCTACGACGCATTTGAAGCATTTTGGAGGTTGACTCACCCGTCACAGGGGTCGAAAATAGTCAAAATAGCGGCTCTAGATGCGATGACAGTTTTTTACGAATAACTTTTGAAGTAATCAAGTTAGGACAAAACAAAAAAACACCATCGTAATTCTCTCGTCATTCCGCATCGAAACATGTATGTGTTGACCTCGAGAGGTCAAGGTCAAGATCAAGGTTGGCTTCAGGTCTCGTTACCTCAGGTCGCTTGACCTCAAGGTTACGTGAGTTCAAGGTCATCATGTATATCATTCGATGCGCCTTGACGAGCTGAACACAATGAGACCATTTGCGCGGCTGTATCTTTTTTTCTGTAAGTATTTATTAGCAAAAAAGCGTTAGGTAACCTTTGATGACGTCACATGCCCTTACAGCTGTCCAATAGGAAATATGGCATCAAGGTAGTCAAAGTTGGTCATGAATTATGTCCTTTATGGTATAATTAACCATGACAACTCGGCCGTCCCAGCATAGTGACTCTGAGCGCACCGGCCAAGTTGCCCCGCTAGTCCCGGCCAAATAACCCCACATTGCCATTCTGAAATTTTTTGTCTATAAAGTCGTCATGGCTGTACAGAACTAGATGAAATTGCTCTTGGAGCCGCTGAACACCCTCAAAAATGGCGCTATAATGTTTTAATTCGTTTACAGCCCAAATACTACATGTTATACAAATTTTTAAACGGAAGTAAAAGTTACCATTTTCTAACGTAATTCACCTTTCATTAATTTTGAATAAAACTAAGAGGGGGAAAGTTTTGATATTTGTTCTCGAGTTAATTCTGCCGATGACAAATGAATAGAGACTAAAGTTATTTCATTCACTTTTATCAGCTTTCGTACAGGTGGGGGCGGCCAATTTACACCACCGGCCAAATTACCCCACTCTCCCCTACTTTGCAAAAGAAATGATATAAGTCAGAAGGGCGCTAACTTTGGCTTGCAGAGTGCTTGTATGAGCCGTTGAGGCGCTAGCCTTATAGCTAAGTGTGCCCTTTTAGCAGCAGGGATGCCATAACACATTATAGTGTGTTATATGGCATCCAGGCCCCTCTAGGTATACGTAGAGGGGCGATGGTTATGACTCGAGTAGCGCTCTTAAAATCGGTAGGCGCCTCACTGTGCGAGTGCCACATACATTTCATTACTCAGTGCAGAGGGGCACCAAAACTGGCACGAGGGCGCCTTCAGGAGCCAATCGGCAGCCTGCGGACTGGGGGCGCTATTCTAGCAAGGATGATGGCATAAGGTACTTGTCAGAGGGGCACTTCAACTACCTCAATGGTCGCATTGATACACGGAAGGGCGCCACTCTGTGGTGCGAGGGTCGCCATTATTAGCAAAAGGGATGATTTAAGACGTAAGTCTAGTCAGAGGGGCACCAACTTTGGCTTGAGGGGCGCATGTTAACGAATGGGGCACGCTACTTAGCTAAGTATTTATTTGCCGCAAACGGCATACCGTCCCTCAAAAACTACACAAACGACCTACCCTTTTTGCATGGAGGCGCCCCATTAAGCCTCATAGGTGCCCCTCTTTCGCATGTAACGGCCCATATGGCTAACAGAGGCGCCCCTATAGACCTCACCGGCGCCCCTTTTTCCCATTGAGGCGCTCCTTTGAGGTCCTCTTTCTAAAATGGGCCTCAAAGGCATCCCTATTTGGCATACATGATGCAGTCGCCCCTCTTTCGTATGGGGGCGCCACTATGGCCTTCCTTGGCGCCCCTTTTGCACGTGGTCGCCCCTATACTATCATAGGTCTAAGAGGCACCCCTAAGGGCCTCAGAGACCAATAGGGTGCCCCTCTTTCGCATGCAGGCGCCCCTATTGCCATCACAGGCGCCCCTCTTTTGCATTGAGGCACCCCTATGGAGTTCATAGGCGCCCCTCTCTCGCATGTAGGCGCTCCATGGCCTCAGAGGTCCCAAGCTCATAGGCCATGGCGCCCCCCCCCCCCTGAGGGATGGCGCTCCTATTGCAGTTTTTTCTCACCACGATCTGTTGAGCGTGGTTACGACCCTGGCCCGTGAGGGCGCCTTTTGGGCCAAGGGGCGCCCACCAAAGTTGGGGGGGGGGGCAAACGGGATGTTGGGGTGGCAGAATTTCAAGTTGGGGGGCACCTGCCCCCCCCCCCAAAAGTATACAAAGTTACGCCCCTGGTCTTGGCCTGCGGCGGTTTCGGGCCGACGCGCGGTACTCGCGCTGTGGCGGGGAGCGGGGACGGTCGAGCGGTGCCGAAAGCCGGCGGAGTTGTGCGTAGCGTCTTGTCTGACAGTGCCCAAAGAGCGACATGATGACTGAGGAGCCATAAATGCTCAATGCGCATTGCTTGTACAATGCTGATAGGTTCGCTGACGGCTGATATTTGTTTTATTTTTCATAAGCTGCAAATGACGGGCAGATGGCATATACCTGACATAAGGTTAGGAAATATTCACCTGTAGGTATTTAAAGCCTATGGCGTTGCAGATAACTAATGTGATAATGGGATTTCGGATGTCATCAAGTAGTTGCTGATTTGTACATCGCTATGCAACCATCGAACAACGTAATAATTAATTAATTACCTTCGCTTCACATCATAAGGCTCGCTCGTATTTCAAACATACATATATCCTACATCGAGCATCGTATTTGTTAGGAATCTTTAACGTTTGTTCGAAGCATGTGTGAATAGTAGGTTGAGGAGTGATGGCCTCTTGGTCCTATATACGAGAGTCAACAAGAGCTTAACATTTACTTGACCGTCTGCTGCAATTGATACATAGCACGTGAAGCGTCAGCGAAATGCATAGTCCTTTACAGATGGCAGGGGTGTCGTTTGTACAGAGGTCGCTGATGGGCACGGGTCAATGCCGCAGCCGTGGGCGGAGCCTAATGTCATATGACGTAGGAAGGCCTCTATCCAGTATGGAAAAACAGTTAACATTACGAGTCAACGACAAGTGCCACAAACATTTACTATGCGTTTCAGACCCTGTGGAACAGTCCTTTTCGGCTATTTCTCGTTGTATATGCGTTTGATTTTAACCAAACTTTGACATTGGTAGTTTGAGATCCCTACCTAATTTTTATCAATATGGTCTATTAACGAAAAATGAAAAATAAAGGCACTTGTCATTGACTGATAATGTTAAGGTCGTCAGAGCCCTGCTTAGAGGCTGACACAGGCTGGGCGCTGTCTCCCCTCTGATTGGTCGTGCCGCACTAGCACACTGCGGCTTGGCTCCGCCCACTTGCGGTCCAGCCTCGGGTCATGTCGCCGGCAGTCGCAGTCTGGCCGGCCGGCGTGCGGGCCGTGCGGGCCGCGCGCGCAGCGCAGCGGAGTTGGAACACTTGCTTGCATGTCATGAACTTTTAATAAGTTGTTCTACGACAAATAAGGATGGAGGAAGAAAGAGAAAGGAAGAGGAGACAAAGTGACAATGATACGAACGGTAAACGTTGGCTAGTGGACAACAAACAATATGCATAAACGCAAGAGCAGAGGCGGGAGACAAAGACGGTAGACGAAAGACAGACCAGATGGTAGACCAGAGACAAGTGACGAAAATAGGGATTAGGCTATAGACGAGAGACATTTGAGACTTTAAGCCTATAGACGAGAGACTGACAAGGGGAGGTGAAGGATGGGAGATCATTAACTCTCGATATTGCATATCTACATTTTCAGATTGAGTCATTCTATATCTTTCCCTGTTTTATTGTTTTTCGGGCCTAGGATCTATCAACAATATTCTTAAAGCATTGTGGAAATATCATGGAAAGATTTACCTATTATTTTCACCCAAAAACATCATAAAGTTTTATTATTTTAAACTAAAAAAAACGAAATACGCACCTACAAGTACATATGTGGATATCCTCAATTAAATAAAGCCGTTGAATGCAAAGACAGTCCGTCATATCATGTCCCGTTTCTCCTTAAATGCACAATAGCCTGTAGGAGGACGGCTGCGGAGAGGCTCGCTATAGATTATTGAAAATAAAATTATTTGGGAATAACATTCTGTAGCTGGAAGGAGTGCTTAACGTTTTATACATACACCGATCTGCATTGCATTCTTCATCCTTATCCTCTCCGCGCGAGAAACGACATATATTCACGCAAGGATACCTGCGTTAGCGTGTGTCTCGTTCCAGTCCGTCAGAGCTCCGCATCCCTCCGAGCCCGAGCGGCGAATGACCGGTCCCGGTGTCGCGGCGCAGTGGGCGGAGCTTAGCTGCGCCGCAACAGCTGACACTGCTACGCCGTGCTAGCCTCTACCACGGCGCAAAGTTTTCCGATCAATTTTTACCATTACAAGTCAATGACAAGTGCCTTTCATTTTGACATTTTGTTAAAAGACCATATTAGTAAAAATTAGGTAGGCCCTTGAAACTCATTGTGTCAAAGTTTGGCTGAAATCAAGCGAATAGGTAACGAGAAAGAGCCAAAAAGGACTGTTCCAAAGGGTCTGAAATGCGTAGTAAGTGACAACAAAACGTATTTGAAGAAAAAGTTTCGGCAGGTCTTGAAACAGCTATTTCCTAAATATGGTTGAAATTCTTCCGCGCATTAAAAAACAATCGCGAAAAATTAGGGTTTCAAGGGGTCTGGCGTTAACAGTAGGCGCCGTCATTCATAGTGATGCTGCTGGCCTCCGAAATGATAATGCCGCCTCTTAAAGTGAAGCAGCCGTCTATAGAAAGTGTTGGCGCCGCCTCGTCGGCGCACCGGCGCTCTCGTGTTTCTGTAAAGCGGCAGCTCTACTCAGAACCGGCTGAAGGCCGAACCTTGTGAAGGTCACGGCCGCTGCGCGGCGCTCGGCCGGCTCACGTGGGGGACGAATGCAGACGAATGGCCGGTTCGTCAGTGGTCTGTGCCTTTGTGTTTGTTTTTATGTAGAATATCAACGGGTGAGTGATATTTCGATACAGGTATTGGTTGGTATGTAGCTTGTAAGTGTGTCATTTCGATATGTGTTGATTATTAAGCAGCTTCACATGATAAAAGGAAATGGCGATGCTGCGAAGGCAATCTGGCGCTGCGCCAAATTTGTGGATAATTTTTTGTTGAGCTTGTCGATCGACCACAAACGCATATTGAGCGATAATTCTGATAGTTGTGTGTTATTTATTCGATTACGATATGGTATATCGGTACAGTTGTGATATATTTTCCTCTTTTGTGTGCATTTCAGCGTTGTGCTAATGGCGCTTATACGAGGTCGAAGTTGGTGCGACCAAGAACCCGTTTTGCACGCTGAGACTTCGCATGGGAGGCAAAACTTGTCGGTATGAACTGAACTGGGGATTTAGACTGTCATTATCTGTAAGAAATTGTATACAATCATCACTTGTCACTGCGACTGAAAGTGTTTGCATTTTTGTATTTAAAGGTGTTCCGAGATAAGATACGAAAGTTACCTAGTAAACAATATATTTGAAACGCGTCAGATAAGATATAAACAAAGGGAAATTGTATTTGTATGATAAGTAACGATTCATGATAGAAATATTGTAGGACGTCATGAATGTGGTGTTGACATGACCGAAACTGAGATGGTTTCTTTTGTTTGTGTGCAGTTACGGCACCACGGCAGTAAATACAGCCCGTTCGACGACAACTCCCCGTCTCTGCAAACGGCGTGCGAACAGAAAGTGATGATCCAGCAACTCAATGTGACAGTGCCGCCCCTAAATCTGTTAGTAGACCCACTCAATGTAATGGTGCCGCCCTTCTAAGCATCTGAGGAGCCCCTCAATGTGATGATACCGCCCCTCAAGAAGATGATGCCGCCCCTTTCAGTATTGGTGGCGCCCCTCAATGTGATGGTGCCGCCCTCAAAGTGCCGGTGGCGCCCCTGAATGTGATGGTGCTGCTCGCAAACGAGTCGGTGGCGCCCCTCAAAATGATGCTGCCGCCCCTTAAAGTGCTGGCGCCGCCCCTTAAAGTGTCAGTGACGCCCTTCGAAGTGTCAGAGGAACCCACCAATATAATGGTGCCGCCCCTCTGGGCATCCACATAGCCCCTCATTGTGATGGAGCCGCCCCATCAAGCAGATGATGCCGCCCCTCAAGAAGATGATGCCGCCCCTGAATGTGATGGTGCTGCCCGTCAACAAGTTGGTGGCGCCCCTCAAAATGATGCTGCTGTCCCTTAAAGTGTTAGTGCCGCCCCTTATAGTGTCAGTGACGCCCTTCGAAGTGTCAGAGGAACCCACCAATATAATGGTGCCGCCCCTCTAGGTATCCACATAGCCCCTCATTGTCAGGGGCGTAACTTTGTATACTTTTGGGGAGGCAGGTGCCCCCCCCCCCAACTTGAAATTTTGCCACCCCAACATTCCGTTTGCCCCCCCCCCAACCTTGGTGGGCGCCCCCAGGCCCGAAAGGCGCCCTCACGGGCCAGCGGCGTCATAGGAGCGCGTGCGCCATCTTTCAAGGGGCGCCATCGCCTATGGAAATGGGATGCGTGAGAGGGGAACCTCTGAGGCCTTGGGGGCGCCTGCATGCGAAAGAGGGGCGCCCATGAAGTCCTCAGGGGCGCCTCAATGCAAAACACGGGCGCCTGCATGCGAAAGAGGGGCACCTTATTGGCCTCTGAGGCCCTTCGGGGTGCCTCTGAGGTCTATAGTATAGGGGGCGCCCACATGAAAAAGGGGCGCCCATTAAGGCCATAATGGCGCCCCAATACGAAAGAGGGGAGACTGCATGCCAAATGGGGGCGCCTCCGAGGCCCATAGAAAGAGGAGCTCCAGTTGAAGCCCAAAGGGGCGCCTCAATGGGAATTAGAGACGCCTGTGAGGTCTATAGGGGCGCCTCTGATGCCCATGTCGAGAGAGTCGTCAGTCGTTTGTGTAACGTTCCTCAGGGATGGTGCGCCGCTTGCGGCAAGTAAAAACTTAGCTAAATAGCGTGCCCCATTGGTTAAAAAGCGCCCCTCGAGCCAAAGTGGTACCCCTCTGACAACACGCACGTCTTATGTCATCTGTTTTGCTAATAACTAATGCCCCCGCACGCAGAGCGGCGCCCCATCCGTTTATCAATGTGCCCCTTCAGGTGGATGAAGCGCCCCTCTGGCCAATACCTTATTGGTCATATGATATATACCTTATACCTTATATCATATGATACTTGTTTAGTATCCATGACAGGTTGGATGATGATGTAAATAATAAACCAAATTATTACAAATGCATTCAAATATATTCAAAAAGACACACAAAGCTTTCGGTTCATGGAACCTTGATCACTGTGCAAATGAGTATAACAATCGCTGTAACCGTCTAAAAATTCTTTGAAATTAATCAGCCGCGTGTTTTCTTCTTCTGGTCGTCAATGGCAGCAAAATCGGTGGTCGTCAATGGCAGCAAAATCGGTGGTAGACCAGCAGAAGAAGAAAACACGCGGCTGATTAATTTCAAAGAATTTTTAGACGGTTACAGCGATTGTTATACTCATTTGCACAGTGATCAAGGTTCCATGAACCGAAAGCGTTGTGTGTCTTTTTGAATATATTTGAATGCATTTGTAATAATTTGGTTTATTATTTACATCATCATCCATCATATGATACACTACATATGATTGCAAAATATGAAGTGAATGGAAAGAAAACATTTGCTCATGTATGTTCCCCTTTGCACACTGTAGCTCATAAGTATTATCAGTGGGAAAAGGGCTGTTTTACACGATGCAATTAATGATTTCTACAAACGGTTTGTATTAATTGACTTTTGGGGAACGGGTTCAACTGGTTCCGATTCCAACTTAGACCGGGTCCGACTGGTTCCAGAAATGTCCAGCCGGGTCTGGTTCGAGTCTGGTTCCCAAAATTTTCACGTTTTGCCACCTCTAGTTCAAAGCAGGAGTAATTTGTATCATTTCGTGATAACTTGATATCACCTGGTGAGCCACAGACTTCTGCATGTCTCGGTATACAGAGGTATATGGGTGACCTAAGCTTGAACGCTCTCAGCCTGGGATTAACCCGCGCCGGGCTGGTGCTCCGCGACTTCCGCGCCGGGCGGGGAGGGGGGTGTCTGGTCTAACTCGGCTCCTGGGCCACGTAGCGACACGCAGTAAGCAACATTCGAAAGAGCGTCAAAAATAATGACGGAAACACTTCGGTCATTTTTTGGGTCAGATCAAAGGTCAGGTCGCCAGAGGTCATCAAAGGTCAAATGTTGGCCATTTCAACAATTTTGGAAATTGCAACGGCTAACTCGGGATCAGTAGAGCTACAGCGCCGCGGAAAAGCGCATTCGATAGCCCTTTTACAGACCTTTCTGATCACTGTTCTCAGATTTGACCTCAGGTCAACGGTTTAGCCTCCAGAGGGCAAAAACTGTAAAATAGCAGTTTTCACGAAAACTGTTTTTCGGCAATAACTTTTGACTCAAGAGTGTCACGACATTACTTTTGGCAGCATCATGTTCCTCTCGTCGAGACGCGTCGAATGAACTATTTGTTGACCTTGAAAGGTCATTTTTAAAATTTGACCTCAGGTCAAGGTCATAACCTGACCGAAAAGGGTCATGTTGCATATCAGTCGATCCGTATCGTCGAGCTGAATACATCTGACGTGTTTTCATCGCTCTAGCACGCCTTTATCAAAAGTTACAGCCAAAAAACTGGTGGTGACCGTTCATGACTTGAGATGACCTCAAGGGCACACAGAGGGGTCACAGGTGCATTTTCCAATTCAGTGTATCATGTTTACCTATAAAACGATGTTTGAGAGGGTTCTAAATACCATTCGTCCAAAAAAGGCTCATTTCAATTTTCTCCCATTGACTTATATGTAGGTAATGGAGAGGTCGCAAAATTGACCTGACCATAGTTCACTGATATCAAAATTCCGAGATTAACATTTTATACATACTGTTACTCTTATCAATCGCTGAAAGTTTCAAGGCGATCGTTCCGTCGGTGTAGCTATGACGAGGATTGCAACTTTTTTCTGAGGTGAGGTCTTTTGACGTGACCTGGTGACCTGACCTTGAGAGCTCTGGGTCTGAAATTTGCACATGTGTAAAAAAAGATGCATGAACAGGTGTGCCAAAAACGGTGGCGCGGAGTTTTGAGATATCTGCGAAAAACCGCAGGGGAGGTGTTCACTCCCTCCCCCCCCGGCCCGGCGCGGGCGGGGGGGGGGGGGCAATTTTTTATTTTTTTTCGATGAGGGCAAATTTTTGCCACTGGTTTGCTTCTAGAGCACGTGCGGAAAAGATGCAGTATGAAGTGTGTTCTTAACTTAAAAGGGGAGGCGTAAAAACGTCCCTTGCTTCTGCGTGGGGTAAAGTTCTACAGATTTGTTTCTTTAATCTCGCCTTTTTATCAGTTGTTTTTTCTTTTCTTTTTGTCAATTCATCAGTTCGTCTCGTTTCTTTAGAAGAACTACCATATGCGTTGTTTAATAAGGCGTCACTACCCTGGTCCCCAATTCCACTACCCGCCCCCGGTCTCTGGTCCCCAAATTGCTTTCAAAATGTATTTGGTTTCAAAATAATTCCGCGCTTTTGGCGCGCTATTTCAGAAACAAAACTGCAACATAACGTGCCAAAACACGACGGCACAAAAAACAACGTGCTATGGTAAAAAAAAAAATGCTGCCGTAAACTGAAATAAGACTTATTTCTAGACAGTCACGGGGAGGCGCCCCCATGCCCTTAAAAAGGCGCCCCTGACAGCGTTGCCCCCCCCCCAACGAAAACCAAAAAGTTACGCCCCTGCGCAGCAGCACTTTGCACAGTCACCACACACAATTATGACAATTAAAATAGCTTTGATCAATCAAGCAAGTCAGGACCTGGTATGCAGATTCACGAGTTCTCTCAACATCTTCAACTACCAACAATCAAGACTGAGCACCTTGTGATCTCAGTGACTCCGCAGGCCCATCTTCTGTTTTGCATTTTCAGTTTTCAATTGAAATATGAGTTCAATCTGGGAGACACATCTTGCATCATTATGTTTAAACAATCAGTAAGCTACAACTATTGGTTTTTCTTGTGAACTTCATTTCAAAAGTTGATTTGATTTTAAAAGTTGATATAATTTGCATAATGCTACGATCACGGCGCACCAAATCACAGATAACTTGATAATAACTCAGCAAAAGCCATATTCTTCAGCAAACTATGAACGCTATCTATTCCATGCTGTGTTGAAATAATTAACAATCGCCAAAATAAGTCAAAATATGACAACTCAATTAGCAGAAACTTCATAAAACTCTTATTTGTGAGGCAATGCGCAACAGAAATGCGAGGGAATATGGTAGTAATCTGGTAGCAATTGTGAAGGATTTCCCCTGTCGTTGATAAAAAACACAAGGAACAAATGTTTAACGAGGAGGAAATCCTTCATTAGGAGTTGCAGGGACCATTTGATTGGCCCATTTTATTTAAATATAGGCCGAATGTTTCGATTTCAACCCCATTTATCGTAATGAGACGAATCTAATGGTTTAGTGGTACGTCTTTTGAACACATATAGGGCTTGGATTTCTCGTCAGCCTGCCTGAAACACACCATGATTTGCATGCTTTGCTATCGGTGAAGGAAAATTTTTCCGCCGTGATGACGTCACGGTAAAGGAATTCTGGAGCTCGTGAACGGGGGCTGGTTTTCGGGAAATGAAGGAAGACTTTTGGTCGTTTTTAGGTCAGATCTTGGGTCAGATCATATGCCTTTTTGTACATTGGATCTAGAGCTTAGAATATGCTTTGAACA